GCGAGCATCCCGAGACCCGCGGGGCCCTAGTCCTTTGCACCCCGATTCTTTGCAAGTCTTTTTGGGGCCCCCGTGAGTTGTGGGGGGCGGTGGGCACTTATTGATTTGTTTTTAGGCTCGCCACGCTGCGGCCAATAAAAGGTTTATGACATCTGACCGGCAGTGAAGGTATGCGAGCTCCCAATTGCCCTGTGTACGCGGAGAAGAGCAGTTTTCTCGTTGCCTGGCAACGCCGCTGATTGACGCGGGGCCTAGCCAATCGCTGCTCCCGTTGGTCCCCTTGAAATGTTTTTGACAAGTACAGTAAAAGGGAGTGGAGCGCGTGCGTGTGTGCGCGCGCAAGGAGGGGGAGGTTCCCGGTCCCCCAAACTCGAGACTGCCCAGCTTCGGTTGAGGAAGATTTCTCAACTTTTTAAAAAGTTCACCACTAACATCTCTTCAGACCTGGGCCATAATGGCATTGTCAGTTATTTGGAGACGTTCTGCTATTAGCAAAAAACCGTAAGCTTCCCTGCTCCATTTTTCTGCATTGAAAGAAAGGAAGATAAAACACAGGAAGTCATAAAAAATGGGAGGGTGTGTGAGACGTAACCAATAACTTGAGATTTTTAAGGCGGTCAGCGGTGGATAAACTATTCAAAGTAACGCTATTAGCAGATTAAAAACATTTGCTTGACTGCAGGCTCACACTGTCCTCCACGTCTCTAAGAGAAGAAAAAGAAGGGAAAAGAGATTTGGAAAATTTTGTAGTTAGGGCATAATAACGGAAAACTCCTCAGCTGTGGTTTCTGGGCTGGGGATTGTTTGTTTTGTTGTAACGTAGAAGTACAGTGGTCAGGAGCCGTCCATACTGTTTCAAAGAGCAGGATTTACAGGGAATGCAGTTTAATGGAGAGTTTGGGGAAACAAATAATCCAGGGGTTAGGGACCCTTCAGATCAGCTCTTCTTGGCATTGGCGTTCAAGGACCACGTTGCTGGCCGTGTTTGTTGAAAACAAAAGAAAACATGGAGAATAGCATGTAAGTTCCTTTGGGAAGCTGCTGACAAATAAGCAAATTAAAAAGAAAGAGAGCAGTATGTTGTCATAGCAACAGTGCAATTAAATTACTGTCAGCCATGATATAATTTTCCCGTTTGGAAGCTCAGGAGACATAAAACTTTCATTTGGGGCTAAAGTTGACTTCAGTGGCTGGGTAGTTTTCTTGTGTGTGGATATGCTGGCAGTTAGAGCTTTCCTAGGGGGATCGGAGGAAACTTTGAGACAAACTGGCCCTGATTTCTTCATAAGGAAGTTAAAAGCAGTATCAGGCTGGATTCAGTCATATCCCCAATTCTGGAGATACAAGCTGCCATTTTTTTTCTATAACACAGCTTGGCTCCCTCCTTTGACACAGAGAGATTTCCTTGGATAAACTGGATGCTCCTGGACTGCCCTGCCTGAGTCGGGCTGGCCCCTTGGAGATTTTCTCCTCTTGCACCTCTGTCCACCTGGTGGGAAAGTGCTGCAGCATTCTGGCACCTTGCCTGGTTGTTTGGAGCTCTGCACCATGCTTTCTAGAATTGAATTCTAGAACTTCCTGTGCTGAAACAGTGCTTGTTTTAAATGCTGTGTTAATGGATATTTAGAGGCTTGCAATGACCATTTGTTTACCTTCGGTGTATTAATTCTTCTAGGTGCATTGCTTTAGCTCCTCACTGAGCTAAAAAAGAGATGTTCTCTGACTAAGTATGAGTTTCAGCTCTGCACACATCAAGTAAAAGACCCATTGTCCTTTTTATCTTGTGTTGTGTACCAGAGGGTTGTGTCTGTAGGGGTTATTCTATTTGTGACACTGCTATGTCCTTGTATTTTTCTTGTCAGATACTGTTTTACTCTCTGTTCTAGGTCACTGATAAGAGCAGTGGATACTGATGGTTGGGGGAGACAATCTTTTACAGTTTCTGTTGATTTTGCCTTCCTGTTTTGAAGTTTCTAGTTGCCCTCTCAACTTTATTTTCTGGTTCTAGTTAATGGCATACCTTTCATTCCCATTTGTTTTTGTAGTGCCTGAGGTTACATGCTTTTTCTCTCTAGGTGTGATGTCCTTAAATTGAATGTACTTCCTCAAATTGTAGTCTGAAGAATTCCTTGTTCTCATTTTCAATTGTCAAATGTACTTAAAGTTGCAGTTTTTTCCTTATGAGTGTGTGTGTGTGTGTGTGTGTGTGTGTGTGTGTGTGTGACAAAATAAAACCAAACATTCAAATCAGTGGCTTCTGGTTACAGTTTTATCTCCAAGTCCCTTTTGTGGGTCTTTTTATGGGATTGGAAGTAACTCTTCTTGCTTTCCCTCCCATCTCTATTATTTTTCCTTACATAGAAAATATTTCATTTATTTATCACATATATGTGAACACACATGCATAAATGTGCACACATATATGTCTGTATGTCTATATGGGTGTGTATGATTGCCACAGCGCACATGTGGAGCTCAGAGGACAAATTGCTAGTGATTCTCTCTGCATCATGTAGGTCTGGGGAATCAAACTCAAGCCATCAGGCTCAGCACCAAGTGCATTTACCTGCTAAGCCATCTTGTCAGCACTTTCTTCTTTTTTTTCCAGACTGGCCCAGCTTGGCCTTGAACACTCAGTCTTTCAGCCACAGCCTCCAGAATGCTGGAATGACCGGTGTGCTAGGATTACAGTTGAGTGAGCACCTTCAGGCCTGGCATTTATTTATTTATATTTTTCTTTTTGAGGAGGATAAGCAATGAGAGCGGTAATACAAAGCCACAGTAATTGTATATTACACTTATTTTGTTGTGCTTATTTTCCGTCTTTAAAGAAATTTGCATGCTATGGATGTGTGTGTGTGCATTATAATAGAGGATCAGAGACACCAAGTAATAAGTTCTCTTCTGATCACAGGGAGCAGCTGTAGACCCAAGAAGTTGCCGCCTATGATGTCATTTGCGCATCAAAAGTTCCACGTATATTTTCAGTTTTGTTTCATTTAAGGTTCATCAGGTCACCATGCTGTTGACATATTGGGCTCATTTTTCTTCATTGTGTAACTGTATGGTGGGCTTGTGTGGCTCCTATGTAGGAGTCCTGTGATGCCATCACCTTGTTAAGTGAGACCCAGATAGGGGGAGAAGGAGTTAGGTAGGACCTGAGCTGTTTTCTGTTCTGAGTTTCTCCAGCTCATCACCTCTCTTTGCTGTCCTTCTTAGGAGCCTTCACGTAAATGGGTCCAGTCATGCCTGCCAGTAAGAAGCCCGAGAGCTCAGGAATCAGCGTGTCCAGTGGACTGAGTCACTGTTACCCAGGCAGCGGTTTCTCCAAGGCCCTCCAGGAAGATGATGACCTCGACTTCCCTCTGCCTGACATAAGATTAGAAGAGGGGACCATGGAAGATGAAGAGCTGACCAACCTGAACTGGCTGCATGAGAGCAAGAACTTATTGAAGAGCTTTGGGGAGTCGGTCCTCAGGAGTGTCAGTCCCGTCCAGGACCTGGATGATGACACTCCGCCATCCCCTGCCCACTCGGACATGCCCTATGATGCCAGGCAGAACCCCAACTGCAAGCCCCCTTATTCCTTTAGCTGCCTCATATTTATGGCCATCGAGGACTCCCCGACCAAGCGCCTGCCAGTGAAGGATATCTACAACTGGATCTTGGAACATTTTCCGTATTTTGCTAATGCACCTACTGGGTGGAAAAACTCAGTGAGACATAATTTGTCATTGAATAAGTGTTTCAAGAAAGTGGACAAAGAGAGGAGTCAGGTACGTTGTTGCTTGTGTCATCTGGGACTGAGTTTATTTATTTATTTTTGCTTTAACCTAAAAGTTTTCAGCATTAAAATGAATGCATAGCCACCATGCTGACGAAGTTATGAGTGGATAATTTAACGAGTTAGATAGTTGTGAAAAACTTCCTTTGTCTTAAATGTATTGGCTAATGTGTTCTTTTTGTTCTTGGGGGTCAGTGTCTTGAGAGGTACCCTGGTTTCACATAATCTCACAACTGAGGTTTGCCAATCCAATGTTTTCACGTCTTCCACATGGTTGGGTCAGTTTGGTTTTAAAGTTCAAAGGTCTGTGTATCATGATATAGTGTATTAATGGAGGGGTTTATGTATAAGAAAATTTGCCATCACAGGCTGGAGAAAAAGCACTCTTTCTCAGTATTGGAAATGGCTCTATCTTAGTCTTCTGGAATAAATGGGAGATGGTACATTTTGGGAAGATATTTGAATATACTTATTCTAAGACCAGCCAGACTGGAGGTGCAGGTGACTTCTTTGAAAGCCAGTGGATACTTAAGTGTTTGGCAACATGGAAACTCTGCTAGTATGAAGTACTGGCTTAGGTTAAGGTTCCCATTAGAGACTGGCTTTAAAACATTTGAAGTTTTTTTTTAATTAATTTTTAATTTGTGTGTGTGCATGCATGCATGCGTGTATATGTATGAATATATGTACATAATTGTAGGTGCTTTCAGACACCAGAGGTGTCTAAAATGCTTAGTGCTCAGTATATAGTTGGTCATGAGTCATCCAGTGTGGGTCCTGGGAACTGAACTTGGGTCTGCTGCTTTGGGCAGATTGTGGGCACTCTTAACTTCTGAGCCATTGGCCACAATGCTGATGATGTCAGGGGTGTGCTCATGTATATATCCACTGGCTGCCTTCTTTTCTGGGTCCTTGGCTTTATGTATATCTGTGATGGTCAAGATACTGCTTATGTAGTGAAATCTGTTATCCTTGGGAACTTAGTCTCTCCTTTTTCTCAGGCCAACAGTTTGGAGACCAGTCCCAGGACTTGACTCTGTTCCATGCGTTAAGATAATTTTAAAAACTTAAAAACTGTTCTCCTTCCAAGAACCAGGCTGTGGCATTAAACACTTTGCAGAGGTTACTTCTTGAGAGGGAAAGCCTGGGCAATCAATTCTAGGCTTAGAATGTGGACAAGAAAGTGCTCACCAGGCCCCGAGAGCCGCATGCCACTGACGAAACAGTGAATAGGGCCTTTAGCGCCATGTCATCCCTTCTGCAAGTTACAGCATGCCTGCGTCTCCATGTTTGACATAACACCACTGCACATAAAAGTAATTTAGCTAGTGCGCAGTCTGAGATGTTAAACAGGACCAAGTATGCAGTGAGACTTGCAAAGATTATGTATACATCATTCTGCCCTGCTCCCAAGCACTGGAGGGTGTACACAGGGCTTACCAGGAGGGTCCACTGAACCCCTCCACCTCCACCATTCCACCGTCCCCCAGTCTCACACAGGATTCTGGGAGTCACGTTTTTTCCAGGAGTGTTGGCTATCCATATGGGCAAACGCTGATACCTGTTACAGGGTGTGTTTTGAAGGATTCGAGATGGGTAATCTTGTGAATTGTTTAGTTCTGGCTTCCTAACCCAGGTGCTGACCTGTATTGGCATGTTTCTGATCAAATGCCAGTCAGATTTGTGGCTGAAAGTTTGTTCTCTGTGTTTTGATGCTGTTAAAACAAAGCTACAGTTGTGAGTTGTTTTTTTCCCTCCTCTTTTTTTCTCTTTCCTTGGGTGAGCTGGAGGCCTCCGGTGACTGTTCAAGTGTCAGGCATAAGCATTGCTGCCAGGGCCCCAGCCCTGGCCTGTTGACTGGGGGTTTTCTCCTGGATTTGCTGAGTAAAAGGGAAAGCATTCTTGCTGATACATTGCCCAGTGATAGTCCCTTGGGCTCTGTAGATACACTTGTTTTCTTCCCAGGGAGTTTTACTTTGGCAGTAGGTTCAACCTCAACACAAATGTCTAAACACACCCAAATGTTGGTGAGAAACACGTCAGATGAAGGTGGAGATGGAAGCCAGGCATGTCTGATGCATGGAGTTAGTCACGGCACCTTCTTTTTTGTTTGTTTGTTTTTATTTTTTGATATGTTCTTGAAACTGGACAACAGAGTTTTAAGGTTGGCATAGCAGTGGGAATGTTGAATCCTGAGTGATCCTTGTCCCTCAGGGCTTGGAACACAGACCCTGCTGGACAACTGTTTGGCTGGGCCCCTGGAGCAGGAAGGAACAGGGGAGATTGCATCAGTCACCCAAAGCACTTCAAACTGTTCCCATTTCCCAGGCTCCTCCCTGCAGATTTGGTTTTGAGATGGACTGAGAAAGTTGGTAGTTGAGAGGCTTCAAGGTGCCTGGGCGTTATAGGAAAGGTCCCTGATCTAGGGAAGGGTCTTTTGCTGGTTGGTCTGTTTGTTTGTTTTAAGGCAGGACGGTAAGTAGTCTAGGCTGGCCTTGAACTTGATACTTAGGTTTGGGTGACCTTGAACTGATCCTCTTGCCTCTCCACTTCCCAAGTGCTGGGATTACAGGATTTTTTTTCTTTTTTTCCTACCCTAAGTGCTCAGATTTCATCAGGAACCTTGTCTCACGATTAAGTCAAGAGAAAATACAGCTTGGCTACTGTTTTGTCTCTCAAAGTGCTTCAAAAGACAGGTTCAATTTGTTGTTGTTGTTTAATCATGGACGTTTTTAGCTGGCAGAAGTGGATAGAATAATAAGAATTTGTGCTCCTGTCACCCCATGATCCATGTCTAGAGTTAGCGCTTAATGAGAATTGTCTGGTTTTATTCATTTTTGTTGCTGTTGCTACTGCTGAAGTACTTTGAAGGAAATTGACATTGTGAGTCATTTTATTTCAATATACTCTGGTGTATAGGAGACTAATCTGTTGTTTGTTACATAGCCACAGTGCTAGTATGCCTGTCCAGTCCTCATTCCCCCATCCCAGCCTCCCAACTACCCTCCCAAGTTGGAAAATCTTAATGTCACCTAAACCAGGTATTCAAATATCCAAGATGGTTCAAGGTTTGAATTAGGACCCCAACATGGCTTATGCATGCATGGTTACGCTGGTTGCGATGTTTTGTTCCGATTTTTGTTTGTTTTTGAATGTATTGCACCCTGTCCCTTCACTGTTTCATTCCCTTTTTGTTGTTGTTGTTTTTTGCTTTTGTTTTTGCTTTTGTTTTTGTTTTGTTTTGTTGAGACAGGGTTTCTCTGTGTAGTCTTGGCTTTCCTGGAACTCGGGGATCCACCTGCCTCTGCCTCCTGAGTGCTGGCATTAAATGCATCTGCCATCACCCACCTCTCCTTCCCTTCTGTTTCAAAGACTCCCATCCCTTGGTCTTCAAAGTGTCTCACATCCTGCCTGCCTCCTTGTGGTGTCTTTGAATTTGTCCCCATCCCCTGGGAGGGAAGGAGTTCTGAGATTGTCTGCTGACTTCCAGGCCCCTTCTGTGGGAACCCAGTGTGTTGAGGAGGGACTGCTTAACTTGCTTTGAGGATTCTGCCTGGCTCCCATGGGTCAGATGGTCCCTATTCTGTGAACTGCCATAGCTGTCTTTCATCCTACCAGGTTATCAGTGGGTGTTTGCTCAGATCAATCAAGGTCATTTTTTTTTGTTTTTTAAAGTCTGGGATCATGTTTTTTTTTTTTTTTTTTTTTTTTTCCCCTCCTTCTCGAAACAAGTCTCAGGACTTGTATTTAGCACGTGCCGATTTCTCTGGGGACTTGAAAACGAGAAGTGAAAACACAGTTAATTTTTATAGACTGGATTAGAATGGAGCAGGTATGTGTGTTTCTATTTTCATGCTTTTTATTTATTTCCCTTCTTGCTGTTTTAACAGAAAATACTGTTGTTGCCAGAAGGTTTATAAAGGAAACAGAGTACACAGTGTGCTTATTACATATGAGGCTGGCTGCTTTGAACACAGTTTTGGCCTGTAGAGGTGGCTGCATGGCATAGCTGAACTGGGACTGGGTAGGGAGCAGGACTCAGATTCTGGTGTTGGTGGTTGGCAGGACCTGGACATGTTGGTGCCTCAATTTTCTTGTGTGTAGAAGCAGCCACTGGAAGTGGCTCAGCGCTGTTCAGCCCTGGGGTCTTCAATGTCTGAGGCACTGTAGACCCACTACCTGAATTCATTGGCAACGTATCAAGAGCTAATGAATACTGTGTTTGTCTAGGAAGAGGTTCTTGAGATTTTGTTTGCTGAAGTGCTCCCCCCCCAATTCCTTTTCTCTCTTTCTTTCATTAGATCGTGTAGCGAGAATTCTAATTGGTTTTAATAACAAAAACCCGGAGTCAGATATAAGGATTAATGCTTTAAGATCAGAGAAGCAGAGCAGCTAGTTCTTACCTCTACCGAATCCTCAGACCAAAGGCGCGATCCTGTCCCTGCAAACCCTCAGACTGAATGCTGTCTCTAGGAATCCTCAGACTGAGCTCCTGTCTCCTCCCACCTTATATTCGTCTCCACACAGCCTTGCCACTCTTGTCCCCACCTCCCTAGTGCTAGGGTTAAAGGTAAGTGACTCCCAAGTACTGGGATTAAAGGTTTATGCCACCACTGCCTCCTGTCTGTGGCTAACTAGTGGCTAGCTCCGCACTCTGATCTTTAGGCAAGCTTTATTTCTTCAAGCACAAACAAAATGTCACTGCAAGATTGCACATGCTAAGCAAAGTCATAGTCACAGTGGCATGGCCATGTTATGCCCAGAGGGAACAGTTATGCCATAGCATAGGAGGTGGGTAAAGTCCTGATTAATTCTGGGGATGCAGCATAAAGAGCTATAGAGGGTAAACAGGAGATATACAGTAGAAACTATTTTTTTTTTTTTTTTTTTTTTTTTTTTGTATTCTTGATGGAGTAAATTCTCTTTCCCAGTAGATACAGAGGTTCACCTTTGTACCAAGCATATTGCCTCTTGGCTGCTGGCTCTCAGGCT